TTGTCCAATCCTGGCCAAATGCATCAAAAAGGGAGACAGCAGAGACCTGGGAGCTGGCAGATTGTGTTCTTGAGTGTGATGACTGAGCCCAGCAGCACCAGGGCAGGGGATGGCTCCAGGAGCTGACTGTTAATAACACAGGAGCCAGAGGATAAACGTTGTTTTTGTGCTTCCTTCCAGGTTCTGGGCAGGATGACCACTCTCACACGGCAGGACCTTAACTTTGGGCAAGGTAATGTGCTAAGCTGCCATCTGGTGTGTTTGCAAGGCTGCTTGTTGGCACTGCAGCTTGTGGGAGGGTTGCTCTATCCCAAAACTCCCTGCAGCTCAGGGGAAACAGGTGAAATCAGTATAGATACTTTCCCTGAGTATATCCCCATGAGTCCATAGTATTGCTGTGTATGTTTTCCCCCTCCCTACATAAGTATTTTTTGTTTTGCAGTTGTTGCAGACGTGCTCTCAGAGTTCCTGGAAGTGGCTGTTCACCTTATCTTGTACGTCAGAGAGGTTTATCCTATTGGGATCTTCCAGAAGAGGAAAAAATACAACGTACCTGTCCAGGTAGGAGTGCTTCCTGGTGGCCCCACGGATGAACAAGCCAAATAGCGAGTATCAGGCACCACTCAGCAGAACAGACTACGTCACTCCCAGAGCTTGTTTTCATGTGCAAAGTCATGTTTGAAGAGAACTCAGTTCCTGTCAAAAGGGAGAACAGCTGAGAATAGAGCAGTACTTGTGAAACAAGCACATCATGGGCAGCAGCAGGAGTAGAAGGCTTCCCAGCTATGTGCAGTAAGGCAATATGGAACCAGGCTTCCTAGGAAGTGGTGATGGTTGGGATATACTATTCCCAACATGCTACTGTGGGTATATATTCCCACTGTGCTACAGTGATCTGCCTCAGCTAACTAACCTTCCATGAAAGAAGGCGATGGTTTGAATTACTGGTTGGAATTGGCAACTTAATGGTGAAGAAAGCTACTTGAAGCCTGACTCAGGGACTCAAGTGCTTTGTAACACACTGGTTGGCGCTTCTGCTTAAACCTTCCCCTTTAGCACTGTCCTGATTCACTGTGTTTGCTGCAGATGTCCTGCCACCCGGAGCTGAACCAGTACATCCAGGACACCCTGCACTGTGTAAAGCCCCTGCTCGAGAAGGTAAGATCATATTAGGGACCTGGGCAAAAGTACTGTCTGGGGTCTTGAGAGAAAGTAAGAGACCACAGATAGCATTTTCACTGCAAAATTCATTTGCAAGTTTACCATATCCAATATACTGGCTGATAAAGCTACTACCAACAAAAACATCCATCACATTCCCTTGCAGTTAAGGCCCTGCCTTGCTGCTGATCATTGGTGTTTTGTTGTGTCCAATACCTGCACATGAGGATACACATCTCTGTTTCCAGTTACATCATTCTGTGTGTTAATGTGCTGCTTATGAATACATTGAAGTTTAAGTGCCTATTTGGCAGGATAGTTTGAATGCTCTGCTGTAAGCCAGCAAGCAAAGGTAGGTCTGAACTCTAGGCTTTGTAGGAGAGAGGTGTGACCATGCAAAACATTTCAGGATGTAGGATGCTGGCAGATCCTGTGCTCTCTGCTCTCTACAGACACATTTAGAGAACAGAAATAGTACAGACCTGCTGTATTTGGCCAGCGGTCTAAGCATATCTGAGCTTCCTCATCCTTGTCCATTCCTGAGGGATGCAATGAGATGGCTGTACATTTCTTCCTTTGTTCCAAAACACTACCTAGAGAAAAGTACTATTTGGTGCATCTCATAGCATCACAGAAGCAAGTAGGCTGGAAAAGACCTTTAAGATTAAGTCCAGCCTTTACCCTAGAACTGCCAGGTGCACCATATCTCTAGGCCTTAGTGATAAGCTGTCAATCAGTCTAACATCTAGCAAGTAATGCCTTTGCAAAAGCCTTTTGTCTCATCAGTAAGAACAGTCCGGCAGTGCTGAAGCTCTGATAACTGCTAGTGCTGTGAGCCACAACAAATAAGCATACTCCCACTTTGTCAGAAGCATGTGAAGCACCGCGGGGGCAGAAGACAGCTCCTTTTAAAGAGGTTTTTCTCTCTTTGTTCCTGCAGAACGACGTGGAGAAAGTGGTAGTTGTAATCCTGGATAAAGAGCACCACCCTGTGGAGAGATTCGTCTTTGAGATCACTCAGCCACCTCTTCTTTCCATTAGGTAAAGCTCCCCTTGCTGCTTGCCCCGGGCATCCAGAGGCTGGAGGCAGCCCCAGGCCCCAGCACTTGGCTGCATGCCCATAACAGCTGCTCTCTCCTTACCAGTTCAGAGTCCCTGCTCTCCCACGTGGAGCAGTTACTGCGTGCCTTCATCCTGAAGATCAGTGTGTGCGATGCTGTGCTTGACAACAATCCCCCAGGTAAACCTTCCCTACAGCCTCACAGCAGGGCCTTGCCTGGCTTGAGACCCGTGGGGGTGTCCGATCCTCTGTTGGTTGTCCCCTGACTGGGATCTTCACCTGCCTCTTGCAGGTTGCACCTTCACAGTTCTGGTTCACACACGGGAGGCCGCCACCCGGAACATGGAAAAGATCCAGGTGATAAAGGTGAGCGATACCTTCAGCTCCTGGACCGTGAGCAAGCTGCAGAGCCAAGAGTGGGAATGAGTGTTGGCATCTCGGAGGTTAAGGCTGTTTTGAACACGTATGTTAGCTTCACGTGATGCTCTTCACCGCTTGGCTTTGAATGAGTCAAAATGGTTTACAAGGCTGAGCACATAGAGCAGGCACCAGCACAGACAATCGCTGCTTCAGGGGCTGGATTAGATCAGAACAATACTTACTGCATAATGCCTGCTCAGTCATTTACAAGTACTGACCTACTGTACATTTAATCAAACAACAAAGCAAGCTCTCATCCCACATCCACTGTGTGTGGATGGCTGATGCTTTACAAACAGCAAGAAACCCTAAAGATTCAAGTAACTAATGGGGTTTGGGTGCACAAATACATTTTATCTCACAGGAAAGTGTGTGCACTTCACTTTTTAAAGCAAATATATCTATCTATATATATATATTTAAGAATCCTTGCTTAGGTACAGGGAAACACTTTTCCCAAGCCAAGTTATTTTTGGTGTCTGAAGGCACAATAAATGAAGCTAATGAAGTGGTTTCAAAATGGAAGTGTGCTCTGCACTGCTCAGTAATGGAAACTGGTAATATAGTAGTCCAGCCTTTAAACTTGCAGGGCAGGATAGAAATCTGTGCCCTGAGCATTGCAGAGTTGCAGTGAAACGCTGGTGCAGCGACTAGAACATGCTGGCTCAGGGCAGCTAAGAGTCTGTCTCTTTTACAGAAGCAAGAGATCACCTTTAGAGTAAGTTAACATTAGAGTTTGATCTGTAACTGAAGGGAATAACGCTGAGTCTGGCACAAAATGAATGATTTAGGGTCGCTTAAAGAATGACCAGAGGTAGCAAGAGTAGTTTTAATATGAATTTATAAATGTGCAACTTAACAGAATTCAATGGCAACATTGACTCCATTGCTCACTACATGATGGAGCATACAAAAGGAAAATAGAGGTAAAAATAAAGCTAAAAAATGACTGATGCAGGGACTGAAGGCACAAAGGGTGAGGGGAGCTCTCCCATTGAGTACTGAGGTTCAGAACAGACCCCCCCTTGCTTTCTGGACTGCTGGAGCCTAGATGCAGCTAGATCTAGTCTTAGTCTCAGACCTGGTCAGCAGTTGAGATCTAAAGGGTGTCCGGAGTGTTCTCAGTTCACCACAGGTGTGATTTTTACAGGCTTTCACCTGCCAGCACTCTGCAGTTTTAAGGTGAGCCAACAGAATCTACTGCACTACATGGTAATACACTGCACAGTAATGCATACACACAGACAGACACACAAAGACATCCAAAGGTACCTGTTAAAAATTCCCATCGAGCTCAGTGGAATGTTCACACCAAATGTCTTGGAGGGTTGAGCTTCAAGGAGCAGGGGGGATTTCAGCCAGGTCCCGTCATCAGCTTCAGTGATGGTCCTCCAGCTACCACACACCTGAGAGGTTGTGAGTTCTGGGGGTGTCCCGCTCAGAGGGAGATGCTGGGCACAGCCCCCTGCAGTCCAGGAGAGCTCAAAGAGCCTCACTTGGCACCACTGTTCAGGGGGTCACTAGATGCTGGGCTGTAGTCATCAGTGATTCCCATTCTGGCCACAACCTGACTCAGTATAGAAATGGTTCAGAACTCCAGTAACAATGGTCCTGTGCCACCTGGGCATCAGGGGATGACTGATTACCCCTGCTCTTGCTTCCCTCCTTCACCATGCAGGAGTTCCTGGTATGGGCAAGGGACTCTTCACCACTCAACTCAGTACACAAAGGCCAAGGCCTGATGGGAATTCCTGAGGTTGTGGAACAGCCCAGAGGACATGGGGGAGATGTACCACTGCAGTCTCAGGGCCAAGTGTGCAAGTATTAAGTTTTGCTGATTTGAAAGGTTTGAGTTACCTGTTTCTTTGCTCAGCCACCAGATCTCTCATTCACTCAGTGCTGATCTAGTGCTGAGAAAGAGCCCTCACGTGAACTCCATCCAGCCCCTGCAAATAAAGCACTTTGTGTTCCTGCCCCTAGGATTTCCCCTGGATCCTGGCTGATGAACAGGATGTGCACATGCATGACCCCCGGCTTATTCCCCTGAAAACCATGACATCTGACATACTAAAGGTGAGCAGAGTGTTCTGGCCCAGGAGGTGGCTGTAACAGCATGTGGGTCCAAGCTTTGTCTACTCTGATGCCAGCTCTGCAGCTTTCTAAAGAGTAAGTTTGAACACTGCTGAGCAGTTCAGTCTGGCAGATGCCTGTGCCATAATAAAACAGACTAAATAAGACTCCTCATGATAAAATAAACCTTGTTATGGGGAAAGGAACAAACTCTTCCTATTTAACCTGTTGCTCTTTCCCCATTCACCTACCTGCATATCAAATGACATGGTGCTTGTTTCTGTCCTCCAGATGCAGCTCTATGTCGAAGAGCGAGCCCACAAAGGCACTTGATTTCCAGTCTTGCCTTCAAGCCTCATCTGATCTTCCAGTGGATGAAGATATCTCACAAACCATACCTTGCTAACTGTCTCTTCAGCTGGCCTTCTGGGTGAATGTAGAGCAGCTGCTGCCTCTCTATTTCAAGTGCTCTTACCACTGTATATAGAACTGACTTGGAATGTGGAGCCAGAGCCTGTTCCCATGTACACTCATGTGTGAGTATAGGTTTTGTTCCAGTGAATCCCTGGGGGCAGGACATAGGTGACTGCAGTGTGCAGTCAGTGCTTTGTACAGCTCCAGTTCTCACCTCAATAGGACATCTCCATTGCACATCGATAGCGATATACAGCGATCCACTACAGCAACGGACTCATGTCAAGGGTGAGTGAGGCCTTATGTAGCGTCTGTCCACTGTGACTGCCCCAAGTAATCTTCAATAAATACTAGGTTTTACCTGAGTTCTGTCCAAACCAGCTCCCCCTGTGAGCAAGTATTCTTTTGTATGGAGCTTTGTATTTTATGTGGAGCTTTTCCGTATCTTCTGGAATGTGTGTGGAATCTGTCAGTTCCCATGCAGGGGTTACACAGCCTTGGTCTTATCCCTTTCTATGGGAAAGCTTTCAGCCACAAGCAGCATTAGCAAGGTGGAATGTGTCTGTCCAGCAAGGACACCTGCCAGATATCCTAAAGAGAGGACAAGGGGAGCACTGTTAATCCTACACCTGTCAAAGGAGAGGGAAGAAGGCCTTAGCATTGGCTCTGCGCATACAGGGATAGAAGACTTGGTTCATAGTATTTAAGATGAGCTTGCTGGTGAGACAATTTGATAACACAAACAGTACAGAGCCTCCCTGCTCCCTCCAAGTAAAAAGTGCAAGAGTACTCTAGAGCAAGGTCTTGTGCTGCTTTAACACTTTATATAGGGTCAGAGTGTTCAGTACAAACCAAGTGCTTTGGTAGTACAAAGGGAGGATGGAACACAATCAAAAGGCACTTCTGTTGTAAGGGAGCCACCTTAGGAGATTTCTTACCTCCTCTTTCTCTGGTGGTTTATTCAAACAACATTGGGCTGGTTTGGGGCAGGGAAGGCATGTTCCATTCTGATCTACACTTAAAGAAACAGTAAGGAAATTAAGTAGCAGTGACACAGCATTTATGAAAAAGGGTTGATGGTTTCCATATGCTGTGAAAGGTCTAATGTGAAAGACATGGTTTTTATACACAATGAAACTAAAACAGGAAAATAACATACAAACCCAATTATCCCTGTAGCAGAGCCCTTGAGGACAGCATTGGTAACCTGCATGAAACGTTTTAGCCTTCTCTAAGTTCCACAAACAAACAAGAAAGGGTTTCTGTTTAAGACTTAGGGTTTGGCTGCAGCACAAGGACATACTAACTAGACAAACAGATGTCGTTTCATTGTCCTGGTCTTCCTCCTTTGGAAGGGTACTGGTAATTGCAGTAACATCCACAGTGCAGGAGGAGGAAGATGAGGACAGAAGTCCTTTGAGAGGGCCAGGCCTGCAGAAGTTCTGCTGTAAGGAGAACTACCTGCCTGGGTTTGAGATCAGCTGTGCAAGACAAAGCCAGGACACTCACCCAGAGAGTACAGACAAATAAGTGCACCTGAGACCACCTGGTTACAGTCCTGAGGTAAAAGCAAACACAAATTGTGCCTTCATAACATTGTCAGGGGCCCAATGGTGATGCTGGAGTTGGTCACTCGGATCCCGTACCACCCTGCCCAGAACTGGGTGTCTTGGCCTCCGTGCTGGAACCAGATGTAACGAACCCCAGGTGGGTAATTCTGGAAGGTGTGAGACATCTGGAGAGAAAGAGGAAAATCATCCTTAATTTGTCTAAATAAACCAACACTGAGCGAGAAGCTCGGACCACTATAGTCAGTCTTGGTCTCAGAAAAAGCTCATTCTAAAGTTATCTCCCATTGAAAGAGCATCATTCCCTTTTTTGAGGGACAGGAAAAAAAGCCTCTTATTCAGCCTCTACCCTAAGTCATAGGTAACACGAAGCTTGAGTCTTAGATTGCTATGCAAGAACCTAATGGGGCATCTAGAGCCAAAAAAACCAGTTAAACACGTTTAGCAGTTTAAGGAAAGGAACATGGGCATCCGTGTAGTAGTTTTAAAACAAAGCTTTGTGATCTAATAGAAACAAGTGCTGTGCTCTTGTAACTTAGACAAAAAACTTCAATGGAAAACCAGAAACAATTAGAGACTGAGCTAAAATAACAGAGGAGCCCAGGGTTACTCTTTAGGAAACCCTGGCCACCTACAAACCAACCCAAGCTCTTTCATAGTACTGCTGCTTCTTCAGCATTGGTAACAGCAACAGCTCACCTTTTGCACTGAACAGAGGAGGCTGAAGAGCACAGAAGGAAGGTCCACATGGGACTTCTGGCTAAGACAGGCTTCAAGATTCAAGTGTCACAATACTGGGGTAAAGCCACTGGGCTGTGCTCACCTCTCTCCACGCGGCATCATTCCACTGCTCTATAACCACCGGCTCGGGGCGGAACTCCGCAAGGACAATGTAGTCTTCAGAAAGCAGCCTCACTATAAGCTCATAGCGACACCCACAGTCAAATCTGGCAGCATACCTAGAGAGGAAGGGAGTAATCGGGGAGCAGGGTTGAATACACAGCGTTCAGTTTCCTTCAGTGGTCAAGAACAGTCTCCAAAGGGGGTCCCCATCTACAGATGGGGAATGTCACCCATGTAGCTATGTACAAAAGGAATGTCACCCATGTAGCTATGAAGAAGTTGTAATACTTCCAGCTATCCTGCTCTCCACAGGATCGCCCCCTCCTTACAGCCTATTGAATAAACTTAGGATTTAGCTTCTGTTTTACTCAAGCTACAACTCCCAAAGGACAAAGAGCTAATTTTATAGCATAAGAAGCTCCAGAGACCTGGCTTGTCTCTAGGCCAATGCCAGTTTTCAGTGCATACGCTTACCAGTCCTTGACTACAATTTCAGGGCGTTTCTCATCCATCAGCTGGTTCCAGTAGCCTTCTTTCTGCAGGGTGATGAGTTGAGACTTGAAGCACGGCCTGCAACAGCAATACAAACATTCAGTGTCACAAAACACATCTCTTCCCTCTCAACATCTGCACTTTCCCTGAGAGCTTTCCCCCCAGACCCTTCTGTTCAGTGACCTGCCTCAAGCCTTCTGACTGTAGTGCCTTCGCAGACACATGGCAGGAACCAGGTCTCCAACCCCAGGTCACTGGAGTTCTTACCCATATGAAGTGACAAAGTATTTCTGTACTTTGGGGTCTGCGATTTCTGTTCCATGAGGCCCAGGCATATTCTCAATCTTCCATTTGTCTCCCTCGTTATTATCAAGTTTCCAGTGCTGAAATTTCTCTAAAAACATCAATATCAAAGATGAGTGTTAGGACCTCAGTGCAATTTCCAGCTTTTGATAAAGAATCAGCTACAGAAGAATGCCAGGAGCCTACTTTGATGAGTTTTCAGATACACTCTATTATTCCTACAGCTGAAAGCGACTCCTGTCTTTATGTTGCCATCACTTTCAATGTGGCTGTCAGCAGCCAGGCCAAGAGGGAGCAACTTCCTGACCACATCAGAAACACAGCAATAAAGCAGAATTACTGCAGTCACGTTAGTCAAGTCTTTGACAACAGAAACTCCCCAGCTGCTGAAGGTTTAATCCCGACACCTGATGGTTTCACTGCCATCTTGTACTTGCTGTGCAAATTAACAGCCAGCCTGCAGCACTGGGGCCTTCGTGACTCCAGAGATGGAGATTTTTCTGCTGGCAACCAAAGACAGGGATTTACTGATAGTTTATCTCCCCACAGTAGTTTCACTGCAGATCTGCCCCAGCAGAGATCTATCAGTAGCTGGACAGCCCCACACCACCAGCAGCGCTTGGGCAATGTAGGACACTGACTCATTCTGACTGTTAGGAAACTCTGAGTCCTCTGGACTATAAATAATGAAACAAACCTTCGGCGCAGGGGTTTTTGATTAAGTTTCTCTTCAGGTGGCAGAGCATGTAGAAGACCTTCCAGTCCGAGACGCTCCCGTCCAAGTTCTGCAGGTAAAACCCCTCCCGCTGGCACTTGCGCTTCCACAGGGTGGTCAGATCCACCACGTACCGCCACTGCGCGCACACCACCCTGCAGGTGCGCACCAGCTCCCGGGCGGGCAGCAGCGACAGCAGCTCCACCAGGACGTCTTCGGGCAGGTCGCAGATGGTTGTCATCGCACACCGGCGGCGGCGAGCGCGGCGGAAGCCCCCGGGCACCGACAGCGCAGAGCCTGGGCAGAGAAGCAGAGGGTTTGCCACTGACCGGCACGGCTCCCACAGGGGACGCTGCCGTGCCGCGGGGCATTCACCCCAGCACCGCCCGTACCCTCCCCCCCGGCCCTACCTGCGCCCCCGGACGTGGATGTGAAGCGGCCGCGGCCCTTCCGCAGGGGCGGAGCGCGGGGCGGGAGGCCGGGAAGGAGGCGGTGCCCGCGGGGCCGCGGCCCTTTATCAGGGCAGCGGGGGCCGGCCCCGACCCGAGCCGCGGCCGCCGCTGAGCAGCGCTGCAGGTAAGGATGCTCGGTGACCCCGCGGGGGGGGCAGTGAGGAACCAGAGCAGGGGATGGATGGATGGAAGCGAGCCGGGTTTAAGAGCACGTGAATCGGGGTGGGAAAGGGACTGTCACCCGTTCCCGGAGCGCTGGGAATCCTTGCTTCCAGCCGTGCTCCAGCACCAGGCCCGTGCGCTGAAAGCAGCGCCGTCCCTCTCTGCTTTACAAATCATAGTTTTTAGGGCTGTGGTTGAGGGTTGGAAAGGGGAAGGGAAATGGGAAATCCCCAATGCAGCCAGGGGATATTAAATGACAGTTTCCTCCTGCTGTCTGCAGTGCAGATAGAGGACACATAGCAGCCTGGCATCCAGAACACCTAGATTTAGGATGCTGTTACAGTGGTGACTCCTCCTTCTTCCCTTCCTGGCCTCATCTGGCACTCTTTCATCATGTATCATATTTCACCTGCTTTGTCCCTAACGCTCTCCTAGGCTTGGTAAGGAGTTTGGCTGCATCTGTGCAGTTTGCTGCAGTGTGGGCAGCTTCCCAGCATCGGGGCTCAGCTGAGCTAAAAGCAGTGTCACAGGGCACTCAAGCTGCACACTCATCTGTCCTTACTCTTGCAGCACCCACCCCAGGAGCTCAGGGCAGCAGAGAGTGCCTGGGAGTCAAGAGTGCAGAATCAATGTGTCCAGTTAAAGCACACACTTGTGACTGAATTGCTCAAGGTTATAAGGCCACAGAAAAAATGAGTATTAGAGAATATCAACTGAGTAATTTTCTGTTGTGCTCTGATCCATGCTTTATACAGGCTCATGATGAAGGAGATTAAGTGCCAGCCCCTTGAGGGGGAAAAAAAGCCTTTCAGATATAGAATGAAACATTGCAAATGGGGTTGGCAGGATGTTCACAGCTGATATTTAGGTGCTGCTCTGTAGCATTCATCATTGGTGATATTCTTAAAGGCAGAAAACCCACCCAGATGCCTCCCTCTGCAGAGGAAGTCATTGCTAAAGCTGGGTTTTGCAGCAGCAGAGACTTCTGGAAGGACAGATTCCAGTCTGGGAACCATCCAAACTGCAGCTGTCAGCTACTTGCATTTTGTGGATGGATTTAACCAATGGCTTTCACTTAAAACAGAAAATGTTAATCTACTCAAGTGCTTCAGGGCATTAACTTAATAGGAGTCAGGAGGCCTTAAGGTTTGGAAGCAATCTATGCCCCAAAATGATGCTTTCAGATAACATGCTGATTTTCCCTTTTTTCCTACTGCATCAGCATTTGACATCACTGTGTGTGTGGGACCTCCTGTCTGAAGTCTGTGTCACTGCTCCTTTCCCCCTCCTTTCTCAGAAGGCTTCATCCAGCCTGGCCCAAGGATGGAGTCCCTCCCTGAAGCAGTCCTGATCAGGATCCTGGCTTCCATACCTGCGGTGGATCTGGTGCTGGCCTGCCGCCTGGTCTGCTGCCAGTGGAAGAACCTGGTTGATGGAGCTGCCCTTTGGATCCTGAAGTGTCAGCAGGAAGGCCTCACTGGAGCAGAGTCAGAGGAGAATGCAGAGAACTGGCAAAACTTCTACTTCCTGAGTAAGAAAAGGAAGAATCTCATCAAGAACCCATGTGGTGAAGGTGAGAGACGGGCATAACAAGCCCCAGGATTTCATAGAGGTGACCGGTCACTGGAACTGGGCAGCTCCAGTCTTTGGAAAAAAGACCTTAGTTGCTACCACGTTGTAGGATTTTCTTCTTGCCCAAGAGTCAAATCACTTAATGCAGCCAAGTCATTTAATGGGCATGAAGACCCTTGATAATCAGCCTTTGCAAAGGGCTCTACTGTCCAGTGCAGTAACAGGGGAGACAGAGCCCCTGTCTAGTCCAGTACCGGGAGGGGACAGAGCCCCTGTCCAGTGCAGTACTGAGAGGGACATCTGCATTTCTAGATCGCTTCTTGCTAGACCAGGACAGAAAAGATGAAGCCCTTCCCTGCTCAGGAGCTGGTCTACCCATAGCTCACCAGGCACTTTGGGCTTCCTTCCTTGAAGCAGCTCAGGCAAACCTTGTCTGTATTCTCCTTCCTGCAGCCTGTCGGAGCCGTGCACACCCCGCGGCTGCCATTATGATGATAATCTATGAACTTTGCTTGCCAGATCTACATGATGCTCAGCAATAAGCAGCAGTAACCAGGCCTCAACAAAAGCAGCAATAAACACATTTCACACATCACAGACCAAAGCAATATCAACACAGCTGCTCCATTCTGTTTACAGATTAGCTTTCTGGAAGCTTTTCCAGCACCCAGGGTCCCTCTGGCTGAGACCAGAGGAGTCCAGTGGTTAATCCTGCTTCTAGAAATACCACTTAGCGATTTAGAAAGCTGATAAATCCAGCAGTCAGCATCCCTCCCCAGGCTGTGCTTGCGTTATAAAACTGGAAGTACTGAAACACAGTTCAAAACACCTAAATAATCTCTCTGAAGTACTTAAATACTTGAAGTATGTAAATATACCCACATAGCCATTGCTCATGGTCACATTGGTGGGGAAAGTTAAAGTCTGTTAATACTCAGTTCAGCCACGCTAAAGGTATTTGCCTGACCCCTACTTGACAAACATCTCTCTAGTCTACATACAAACTCGTACAATCATAGACTGGTTTGGGTTGGAAAGGACCTTAAAGCTCATCGTTCCACTAGAGCAGCTTGCTCCAAGCCGCTGTGTCCAACCTGGCCTTGAACACTGCCAGGGATGGGGCAGCCACAGTTTCTCTGGATAACCTGTTCCACAGCATTCCTTTCACAAGCCAGAAAAGGATCCCAGGAGAGGTGGTCAGGTTCCCCAGGCCCACAGAAACTAAGACTCATCCAAGTCTCTTTTTTTTGCCATTTGCAGAAGACTTGCAGCACTGGGGAGAGGTAGAGAATGGAGGTGATGGCTGGAAAACTGAAGAGCTACCCGGAGACTTTGGAAAAGAATTCCCTAGTGAAGAAGTCCATAAGTACTTTGTTACATCTTATGAGTAAGGCTGCTTTCTTCTCTTATTCAGGGAAGGGGACATTTTTGGTTGCCCCAGTGCCAGGAGAGACTGTGATACCCATTAACATCTTGTGTTTCAGGTGGTGCCGAAAGGCTCAGGTCATTGACCTAAGGGCTGAGGGCTACTGGGAAGAGCTGATGGACACAACCCAGCCTAAAATTGTGGTAAGAGACTGGTAAGTAGCAGGGATGCCTCAGAAGTCAGAGAGAGAGGCAGGAAAGAGAAGGAAGGGCATATACTTGCCCTGGACCATAACACCTCAGCTCCCAGGATCCCCTAGATGTGGGACAGGGCTGGGTCTTGGCTTACAGCATCACAAGCTTCAAATTGGCATCTGTGCCCTCTAAAGACCAGGTTCTTGTTGTGAATGAGGGGAGGTGGTAGGGTGGGGCAGGAACCATTGCAGAGTTCCACCTCAAACCACGGCTCCAGTACCTTGGGGAGATGGAGCCTGCATTCAGCAAGATGTGGTTGCATGCTCTGGCCCTTTTGCAGTGCAGGTCTCCTTTACAGGTATGCAGGGCGCAGTGACGCCGGCTGCCTCTATGAGCTCTGTGTGAAGCTGCTGTCAGAGAACGAGGATGTTCTGGCTGAGTACAAAAGTGAGACCATTGCCATCCCACAGGACAATGATGCCAACTGGACTGAGGTGAGTTACATTCTGGGCTCAGCAGGTAACACCCAACCTGCAGGAACTGGGAATGTTTGCAAGCAGAGAGAAGCAGGAGAGTTCTAGAGGCAAGGGCAGCTGTTGTGCTCTGCGGAGCCATGGCCCTAGGTTTGAATACAGGGATTATATTGGGAGGCTACCTTACATAAAACCTGGGAGCTTGCTGAGCCACCACTGCAGGTGTGAGATGAAGGAGATGCCTGAAACTGGGAGAGGTTCAATGGCCTCTGACAGCAATGGGATCAAAGCTCCTTCTAGTAACTCCCCCTGGAAATGTCCTCACTGCTACCCAGCCTGGTAGGTGTGACTCAGGCAGGTGGGGTGAAGGCTCTGTGCACTAAAGGGTAGGTTCAATGGTGGTTTGACAGTTACCAATAACCATTTTGTGTCTCATCCCAAAGATCTCCCACACCTTTTCCAACTACGGGCCTGGGGTCCGCTTTGTCCGCTTTGAACACGGTGGCCAGGACACGCTGTTCTGGAAGGGATGGTACGGCGTACGTGTGACCAACAGCAGCGTGACAGTGGAGCCATAGCCATGGAGAACTGGGGTCTGCATGCTGGAGCTGACGTCCTTCAGGGCATCCCATGGCCTCTGGATGGTTTCTGCATGGTGCTGCTTCCAGGCTGTAGAGCACACAGCCTTTCTGCGCATTAACGCGCGTGTGAGATGCCAGGGGTCACCATCTGCCCTTCCTCGAGGGGACTGTGCAAAGAATGTGAATGGGATTGTGAACAGGAGAGACAGCCTGGCCGCTTGCACGGATGTTCTGTCAGCTATGAGATCCCCAAAGGTCCTGCAGATCCTGCTTTTAAGCCACTAGCGCCCTGCCTGCTTCCCAGACTTGGGCATCCCTTAACTTTAAGGGGCACTTTGGGTGTATTTTTTAGAAGGTAGAGTAGAAAAAAGGGAAGAAAGAAAAGCATAGTCCTTGTGTGTAAGAACATGCCAGAGCCTTGTTCCATCTGAAGCATCACCAACTGCTTCACGAGAACCTTGGCTTCTCCCATTTATAAACCATAGATGTCATTGCTGGCCACAGAGGAGCTCCAGCTTGGCTGCCAAGTGCTGTTAGGTTAATTTTTAGTGAAAATGTAAAGCAATTAGGATTGGATCCTTTTCTGCTGTTCCCAGCATCCATTTATCAAGTGTTGGGAACTGAAATCTCTCCAGTGTCCAACCCTGGTGCTCTGTTTAGCTCCCTCAGACAGAGCAAGCAACAGTAATTACTGG